CATCTTGTCCCTTTTGTATCTGTCTGACAATCCTTCCCCGTCACTTCTAGTTGCTATCATTTACTGAGTGCTTCCTTTTCTTATGCATGCTCAAAGAAAACTGACGACTCTGTTTTGATAGGTGATAGACTTTGCTTTAATGGTTGAATAACTTTGTTTTGATGACTGATTTTGTTGTTGTTGTTGTTGTTGTTGTTGAACAAAATAATTTTGATGTCTGATTGACTTTGTTCAGAGTTTTGATCAACTTTGTTTTGATAGCTGATTAATTTTGCTTTGATTGCTGATTAACTTTGTTTTGATAGCTGTCCTTAGATTTATGTCGTTGGCTGTTTTCTCTGTCAGTGCTCCAGTATGTTGCAGTTATCTACATGGCCAGTTATTTCCCGATTGTCTTCTAAGGTCAAAGTTCAGCTGTTCAAGGATGGAAGGGCAGAGGTCAACTTGACATTTAATGGAACAGGAAGTAATCAGACAGACTGGTTCTCCATATCCAGACTTGTAGAGGCTAGCCCTTACACGGACCTCGGGACAAATGTCTCTCTCTTTACACTCGCCAGGTGGGAGTTTCTTTATCTGTGTACATACTTGTTTAGGCCAGCACTTACACGGACCTCAGGACCAGTGTCTCTCTCTTTACACTTGCCAGGTGGTAGTTTATTTATCTGTGTACATACTTGTTTAGGCCAGCCCTAACACGGACCTCGGGAACAATGTCTCTCTCTCTTTACACTTGCCAGGTGGGAGTTTATTTATCTGTGTACATACTTGTTTAGGCCAGCCCTAACACGGACCTCGGGAACAATGTCTCTCTCTCTCTTTACACTTGCCAGGTGGGAGTTTATTTATCTGTGTACATACTTGTTTAGGCCAGCCCTAACACGGACCTCGGGAACAATGTCTCTCTCTCTTTACACTTGCCAGGTGGGAGTTTATTTATCTGTGTACATACTTGTTTAGGCCAGCCCTAACACGGACCTCGGGAACAATGTCTCTCTCTCTTTACACTTGCCAGGTGGGAGTTTATTTATCTGTGTACATACTTGTTTAGGCAAGCCCTTACACGGACCTCGGGACAAATGTCTCTCTCTCTCTTTACACTAACCAGGTAGGGAGTTTATTTATCTGTGTACATACTTGTTTAGGCCAGCCCTAACACGGACCTCGGGAACAATGTCTCTCTCTCTTTACACTTGCCAGGTGGGAGTTTATTTATCTGTGTACATACTTGTTTAGGCCAGCCCTTACATGGACCTCGGGACAAATGTCTCTCTCTCTCTTTACACTAACCAGGTAGGGAGTTTCTTTATCTGTGTACATACTTGTTTAGGCAAGCCCTTACACGGACCTCGGGACAAATGTCTCTCTCTCTTTTTACACTTGCCAGGTAGGGAGTTTCTTTATCTGTGTACATACTTGTTTAGGCAAGCCCTTACACGGACCTCGGGACAAATGTCTCTCTCTCTTTACACTAACCAGGTAGGGAGTTTATTTATCTGTGTACATACTTGTTTAGGCCAGCCCTAACACGGACCTCGGGAACAATGTCTCTTTCTTGAAACTTGCCAGGTAGGAGTTTATTTATTTGTGGGAAAAGTTGTGGCTGGTAGACAGATTCATGTTGGCCGTTGACAGATCCATGTTGGCCGTTGACAGATCCATGTTGGCCGTGGACAGATTCATGTTGGCCGTTGACAGATTCATGTTGGCCGTGGACAGATTCATGTTGGCCGTTGACAGATTCATGTTGGCCGTTGACAGATCCATGTTGGCCGTGGACAGATCTTTGTTGGCCGTGGACAGATCTATGTTGGCCGTGGACAGATCCATGTTGGCCGTGGACAGATCCATGTGGGCCGTGGACAGATCCATGTTGGCCGTGGACAGATCTATGTTGGCCGTGGACAGATCTATGTTGGCCGTGGACAGATCTATGTTGGCCGTTGACAGATCCATGTTGGCCGTGGACAGATCTATGTTGGCCGTGGACAGATCCATGTTGGCCGTGGACAGATCTATGTTGGCCGTGGACAGATCTATGTTGGCCGTTGACAGATCCATGTTGGCCGTGGACAGATCTATGTTGGCCGTGGACAGATCCATGTTGGCCGTGGACAGATCTATGTTGGCCGTGGACAGATCCATGTTGGCCGTGGACAGATCTATGTTGGCCGTGGACAGATCCATGTTGGCCGTGGACAGATCTATGTTGGCCGTGGACAGATCCATGTGGGCCAAATTATCTATCAGCGGAGTGTTTCTCTCTTCAGGATTGCAGTCTGCGGGATTAGCGCCTCAAGGATCAGAATCAAACAGGTAGAAATCCCAGAATCCTCCACTCACCCTCATAAACAGTGATGTTACTTCAGCCGACTGTTTGTTGACCGTTAGTCCAGTCTAGGAATTTCATCAGCGATAGATGTCGCCTCATGTTGAAGAACTTCCTCAAAACACGTGGTTGCTAGTTTTGGTAATTCACACAGATACGAGAAAGTGTGTGTGTGCCGTTATCAGGTATTGTGTCGTGTGTTTCCGTTTTGGATTGCACCATGTGTTTCCTTCTGCGTGGATTTTTGTCATGATATGGGGCGTCGCAGGTCGACCCAGCCTAAAATGGGTACCAGGATGACTGTCCTGGAGAAGTAAAGACGGCCGGCGTAATGCTGACCACATTACCCATCCAGTGCAGATGGGTCTGTAAAAATATGGAACGCTCTTTGCATATGCCCGATGTGCCTAAGGCGTGAAAAGGGATGTTTCCTTTACTTTACTCTGTTTCCATGTTTGATTGTATCATTTGTTTACCTGTTGGTTTGTATCATTTGTTTGCGTGTTGGATTGTATCATTTGTTTACGTGTTGGCTTGTATCATTTGCTTCCATGTTTGATTGTATCATTTGTTTTCATGTTGGTTTGTGTCATTTGTTTTCATGTTGGATTGTATCATTTGTTTTCATGTTGGATTGTGTCATTTGTTTTCATGTTGGCGTGTGTCATTTGTTTACGTGTTGGCTTGTATCATTTGTTTACGTGTTGGCTTGTATCATTTGTTTACGTGTTGGCTTGTATCATTTGTTTCCATGTTGGCTTGTATCATTTGTTTACGTGTTGGCTTGTATCATTTGTTTATGTGTTGGCTTGTATCATTTGTTTATGTGTTGGCTTGTATCATTTGTTTCCATGTTGGCTTGTATCATTTGTTTACGTGTTGGCTTGTATCATTTGTTTCCGTGTTGGCTTGTATCATTTGTTTCCGTGTTGGCTTGTATCATTTGTTTATGTGTTGGCTTGTATCATTTGTTTACGTGTTGGCTTGTATCATTTGTTTCCGTGTTGGCTTGTATCATTTGTTTACGTGTTGGCTTGTATCATTTGTTTACGTGTTGGCTTGTATCATTTGTTTCCGTGTTGGCTTGTATCATTTGTTTATGTGTTGGCTTGTATCATTTGTTTATGTGTTGGCTTGTATCATTTGTTTACGTGTTGGCTTGTATCATTTGTTTACGTGTTGGCTTGTATCATTTGTTTACGTGTTGGCTTGTATCATTTGTTTACGTGTTGGCTTGTATCATTTGTTTACGTGTTGGCTTGTATCATTTGTTTACGTGTTGGCTTGTATCATTTGTTTACGTGTTGGCTTGTATCATTTGTTTACGTGTTGGCTTGTATCATTTGTTTACGTGTTGGCTTGTATCATTTGTTTACGTGTTGGCTTGTATCATTTGTTTACGTGTTGGCTTGTATCATTTGTTTGCATGTTGGCTTGTGTCATTTGTTTGCATGTTGGATTGTATCATTTGTTTACGTGTTGGCTTGTATCATTTGTTTGCATGTTTGATTGTATCATCTGTTTACGTGTTTGATTGTATCATTTGTTTACGTGTTGGCTTGTATCATTTGTTTACGTGTTGGCTTGTATCATTTGTTTACATGTTGGCTTGTATCATTTGTTTACATGTTGGCTTGTATCATTTGTTTTCATGTTGGCTTGTATCATTTGTTTACATGTTGGCTTGTATCATTTGTTTTCATGTTGGCTTGTGTCATTTGTTTGCATGTTGGATTGTGTCATTTGTTTCCATGTTTAAAGAAAATAATTATAGCATGGCAGAAATTGCGTTAGAAAACTATAGGTATTCAAGAAAAGGGTAGTTAGTTTACGACTGCGGGATCGCCCAGGTTGATAACAAACACTAGACCGTTGTGGCAAGCTCTAGTCATCAGCTGTATAGTCCCGCGGAGGACTGTTACTGCTGCTGTAGGAGGAACGACTGTCTGATCTATTCCCTCTTTATAAGGATAGCGAATAAATTCAGGTTTGCGTCTGTGTGACGGAAAGTAGGGTGTTAATCTACAACAAAGAAATCATTCTGTATGGAACTAGTTGTTGATTCTGAGATGGTACAGTGGCATTCACTGTTGTCCGGTCAGTGCGCCTAGTATGAGAGTCTGCAGGATACAAAGCATCAACAAAACATCCATCGACGGGAAGACGAAGCGGCAAATGAACGGAGACGCTCTGAGATAATCACCATTAAGAGGAAGATATAGAAATGTTTCAACTTTTCGGAGAGTTTTCTTTATTTCTGCTGATTGCAACCAGAAAGGGATATTTAACATAATCAGTTAGCATTTGAAGACATTAGCTAAACACTTTGATAAATATTGACGTTTGGCGCTTCCCTTGTGTCCAAGCGTAAAATACAATCATCATGTGAGTCCTGGAATCGCTGAGGGTGGGGGGGGGGGATGCCATATTTATAACATACTGGGTGGACAAGAAGAATTTTGCTAATATACTGGGTGGACAATTATAATATTGCAAATATACTGGGTAGACAAGAAGAATACTGCTAATAGACTAGGTAGACAAGACTAATATTTCAGTGTCCGCGATCTGTGTACCGCTACACCAGATGATGTTACTGTGGCTGAATTATTATTTTTTTTTTTTTTGTCTCCCTGGTCATCTTGTTATAGCCTCCATGTTGTTCTCTCAGGAAGATCAACCGGATATTCATCATTTCCAACACCAGCGACGTCTCTGTCTGCAGCCAGCACGCTTGGCTGATTGTCGAAGACCTGGCCAGCAGCGTCTGCTACTGGTCGTCCATGCTCCACTGGCCTCGCATCCTCTATAGCGCCTACAATCATCAGGTCGACTTCAACAACAGAAGCCAGTGTGAGGATGTCGTTGTGTGCTACTGTTTGTCTGCATGTGCTTCTTCTTCCGTTCTGTTTCAGATGTGCCCTGTCCCAGTTTCACTTGTGTCTGTCGTAGTTTCATGTCACTAGCATCCACTTGTGTCTGTCATAGTTTCATGCTACTAGCATCCACTTGTGTCTATAGTAATTTCATGTCACTAGCTTCCACTTGTGTCAGTCGTAGTTTCATGTCACTAGCACCCACTTATGTCTGTCATAATTTCATGTCACTAGCATCCACTTGTGTTTGTCATAGTTTCATGTCACTAGCATCCACTTGTGTCTGTCATAATTTCATGTCACTAGCATTCACTTGTGTCTGTCATAATTTCATGTCACTAGCATCCACTTATGTCTGTCATAATTTCATGTCACTAGCATCCACTTATGTCTGTCATAATTTCATGTCACTAGCATTCACTTATGTCTGTCATAATTTCATGTCACTAGCATCCACTTGTGTCTGTCATAGTTTCATGCTACTAGCATCCACTTGTGTCTATAGTAATTTCATGTCACTAGCATCCACTTGTGTCTGTCATAATTTCATGTCACTAGCATCCACTGGTGTCTATAGTAATTTCATGTTACTAGCATTCACTTGTGTCTATCATAATTTCATGTCACTAGCATCCACTTGTGTCTGTTATAATTTCATGTCACTAGCATCCACTTGTGACTGTCATAATTTCATGTTACTAGCACCCACTTGTGTCTGTCATAATTTCATGTCACTAGCATCCACTTGTGTCTGTCATAATTTCATGTTAATAGCATCCACGTGTGTCTGTCATAATTTCATGTTACTAGCATCCACTTGTGTCTGTCATAATTTCATGTCACTAGCATCCACTTGTGTCTATAGTAATTTCATTTCACTAGCATCCACTTGTGTCTGTCATAATTTCATGTCACTAGCATCCACTTGTGTCTGTCATAATTTCATGTCACTAGCATTCACTTGTGTCTATAGTAATTTCATGTCACTAGCATCCACTTGTGTCTGTCATAATTTCATGTCACTAGCATCAACTTGTGTCTGTCATAATTTCATGTCACTAGCATCCACTTGTGTCTGTCATAATTTCATGTCACTAGCATCCACTTGTGTCTGTCATAATTTCATGTCACTAGCATCCACTTGTGTCTGTCATAATTTCATGTCACTAGCATCCACTTGTGTCTGTCATAATTTCATGTCACTAGCATCCACTTGTGTCTATAGTAATTTCATGTCACTAGCATCCACTTGTGTCAGTCGTAGTTTCATGTCACTGTCGTAATTTCGTGGAACAAATAACGATCATAATCAGGAGTTCTGAAAATAGTAAAATGAAAAGAGAATCATCATCATCATTCAGCATGTCTTTTACAGAATGTCGCTCTCCTCACGGCACGCCTGAAAGTATTCCTCACCCTCGCCAGCTATCCAGCCCTATGTGCTTTTAGTGTATCTTCAATGTCTTGTATCCATCTTCGCGGAGGTCAACCCCTGACTCACTTTCCACAAACTTCCCCTCCATCAACGTTTTTTCCAAGCCACCATGCCGCTTGATGTGGCCAAAATACTTCAACTTTCAGGACAGGATGCTGTTTATGAGCCAGTTCTCCTTGATGTTTAACTCTTGCAGAATGTCGATGTTTTACTTTTTCTTGATCCATCGTATTCTGAGAATGTCTCTGTATTATTTCAATTTAAAAGCTCCAAACTTTTGCTTCATGGCTGATGAGAGTCCATGACTCACAACCACAAGTTGCCACAGAAAAAAATGCAGGATCTCAAGATGTTTACTTTAACTTATTTACAAGCGCTTTGCCAAAGGTTCTTTATTCTGTTTAACCTCTGCATTGCTGATGCATGTCTACTTCTGACTTCTTTCGAACAGTCCTCGCTGTTGTTCATTAAAGAGCCCAAGTATTCTAAATCTGGGACATTGATTCTATTTTTCATTTTCGATTGTGATATGTGGTTAGTGTGCATAATTCACTGAGGATATTATTTATATATATATTTTTTTTAATTCAGGAAAATATTCACTTTTTCACTGTGCTTTTTGACGACCAGAATTATTTTTTCTAAACCTTGTACACTGTTGGAGAGGAGAACTGTGTCATCTGCATATCTGAGTTCAGGGATGGGATTACCTCCAATTTGTAGTGGATCAAAGCTCGCATATGCCTCATCGCTCATTGTGTTTCTAATTAGATTGTCAGCATGTAGGTTAAAAGAACGGAGAAAGGATGAAAACCGGTCTCACTCCTTTTGCACTTCAAACCACTCTGTTTCACCAGCTACTCAGACTGCTGCTTGTTGTTCATAGTAAAGAGATTCCATTAAGTGCACCAGATGTTTTGTAAACTCCATGCCTCTCATTATATGCCATAGTTTATGGTGTTGCACACAGTCAAATGCCTTGCAGTAGTCTATGAAACTGATGATTCTTATATAGAAAATATAGTCTCTTGTTCCTCTGCCCCGTCTCAAACCCGCTTGTGCTTCTTGTAATTTATACTTTAATTTATTCTCGATTTTTCTCAAGATGATCTGCAGAATGACGCTGGCCTCTCCTCCAGCCTGAAATAACTCTGGTTGTATGTCATCACAACCCGGAGATTGACTGATTTCACATTCTGTATTGCTATTCCGACTTCGTCTAGTAGAGGTTCTGTCTCTTTCTCTTCGATTTCTTCGACACTGTCTGACATGTTTTTTGTTTTTTGTTTACGAATCTGTGTACATTTCTACACAATACTCCTTACATATTTCTAGTGAAAAAAGAATCACTAAAAGAAATGCAAGAGACAGTTGAAATACTTTGATCACATTAAAAGATGATAGTCTTTTTAAAACTACACTAGAGAGAAAGGGGAAAGGTCGGGGTCAAAATAGCAAAAAAGTGACAACGATATAAGTAGGAAGACAACATAGAGTGATGGACAAATAGCAGTCTGAGAGAGTGCGATAGCAACACACGAGACAGAGCATGCTGGAGATCTGTGGCAGCCAACCTTGACTGTGGAGACGTCACCTGATCGATGATGATCATAATGGCACATGTCTGTTACGGCTTTAGGTCTGTCTGCCTGTCTGTCTGTCTGTCTGTCTGCCCTAACTTTACCAGTGTTGCAGCTTTATCATAGACTTGCTTCACAAATATGGGATTTATTTTTTTCTGCAGTTGTTAGATCTTTGGTGTCTGTCTGTCTGTCTGTCTGTCTGTCTGTCTGTCTGTCTGTCTGTCTGTCTGTCTGTCTGTCTGTCTGTCTGTCTGTCTGTCTGTCTGTCTGTCTGTCTGTCTGTCTGTCTGTCTGTCTGTCTGTCTGTCTGTCTGTCTGTCTGTCTGTCTGTCTGTCTGTCTGTCTGTCTGTCTGTCTGTCTGTCTGTCTGTCTTCCTGCCTGCCTGCCTGTCTGTCTGTAGGTATGTCTCCTCTTGCTTACTCGGTTGACCTTTCCCGAAAACTCTGTTATTGTTAATTGCTGCTATCACTTCTGCCAGTCTGAATTTACATCCTGTATTGGGAACTACAATTTGGATTTCCCGCGTGTTCTGTGTATGTCTGAGTTTGTATCGTGTGTGTTTGTGTCTGATTTTGTATCGTGTTTGTTTGAGACGGATTTTTTTATCGTTTGTGTTTGTGACGGATGTTTGATCGTGTGTGTTTGTGACTGCCGCTACTGAATAATAACCTCATTCTTTACCTGTACATCTGATTTGCAATATGTTTCTCCTTACTTACGTAGTATAGCTTGCGTTCTTCTCTCATTGCCTTGTTTAACATTCTTCAAATCTACTCACAACTCTTGTGTATTTCATTCTGTCTTCAGGTATGTCCACTGTTCTTTCTTCTGTCTTCAGGTATGTCGACTGTTCTTTCTTCTGTCTTCAGGTATGTCCACTGTTCTTTCTTCTGTCTTCAGGTATGTCCACTGTTCTTTCTTCTGTCTTCAGGTATGTCCACTGTTCTTTCTTCTGTCTTCAGGTATGTCCACTGTTCTTTCTTCTGTCTTCAGGTATGTCCACTGTTCTTTCTTCTGTCTTCAGGTATGCCCACTGTTCTTCCTGATTTCCTCATGTTCTTGTTGTTACTGGTTTATAAATGTTTTGCCAATCTGAATCTGACCACTGCCTGTCGTCATCCACTGGTTGTGTGCGTCACCGAGGATCCAAAATGCATTAATTATTTGTCATACAATGTTATACAACCCATTCACCCTCCTATCGTCAATACAATGTTATACAACCCATTCACCCACCCATCGTTCCTACAATGTTATACAACCCATTCACCCACCCATCGTTCCTACAATGTTATACAACAACATTCACCCACCAATCGTTCCTACAATGTTATACAACAACACTCACCCACCCATTGTTCCTACAATGTTATACAACAACACTCACCCACCCATTGTTCCTACAATGTTATACAACAACACTCACCCACCCATTGTTCCTACAATGTTATACAACAACATTCACCCACCCATTGTTCCTACAATGTTATACAACAACACTCACCCACCCATTGTTCCTACAATGTTATACAACAACACTCACCCACCCATTGTTCCTACAATGTTATACAACAACACTCACCCACCCATTGTTCCTACAATGTTATACAACAACACTCACCCACCCATTGTTCCTACAATGTTATACAACAACACTCACCCACCTATTGTTCCTACAATGTTATACAACAACACTCACCCACCCATTGTTCCTACAATGTTATACAACAACACTCACCCACCCATTGTTCCTACAATGTTATACAACAACACTCACCCACCCATTGTTCCTACAATGTTATACAACAACATTCACCCACCCATTGTTCCTACAATGTTATACAACAACACTCACCCACCCATGGTTCCTACAATGTTATACAACAACACTCACCCACCCATTGTTCCTACAATGTTATACAACAAACACTCACCCACCCATTGTTCCTACAATGTTATACAACAACACTCACCCACCCATTGTTCCTACAATGTTATACAACAACACTCACCCACCCATTGTTCCTACAATGTTATACAACAACACTCACCCACCCATCGTTCCTACAATGGTATACAACAACACTCACCCACCCATTGTTCCTACAATGGTATACAACAACACTCACCCACCCATTGTTCCTACAATGTTATACAACAACACTCACCCACCCATTGTTCCTACAATGGTATACAACAACACTCACCCACCCATTGTTCCTACAATGGTATACAACAACACTCACCCACCCATTGTTCCTACAATGGTATACAACAACACTCACCCACCCATTGTTCCTACAATGTTATACAACAACACTCACCCACCCATTGTTCCTACAATGGTATACAACAACACTCACCCACCCATTGTTCCTACAATGTTATACAACAACACTCACCCACCCATTGTTCCTACAATGGTATACAACAACACTCACCCACCCATTGTTCCTACAATGGTATACAACAGCGTTCAACCACCCATCGTTTGTTCACAAACAACAAACATTCTCACAATGTGCCCTATGTCTAACTTGGCAGTGTACCGGGAGGCGGACATCTTGGTGGTGTTTATCAAGTTCCTCAAAGAGCCTGCACGTAATCCACGCGTGAGGGAAAGACGCCGGAGCCGTGCTTGATCTCACTAGGACACCAACAGCTGGATCTCTCTAGCACACATATGAATCTCCCTAGCACACATATGAATCTCCCTAGCACACATATGAATCTCCCTAGCACACATATGAATCTTCCTAGCACACATATGAATCTCCCTAGCACACATATGAATCTCCCTAGCACACAAATGACTGGTTTACCTAGGACTCCCTCGCTGTCGCGCTGTTTGAGAGTCTGTAATAAACCAGTTCCACATTAGAGTTTTGTTGTTTTGTTTTTGTTATCGCTTAAGCACTGTTGCGTGTGTGTGTGTGTGTGTGTGTGTGTGTGTGTTTGTTTGTTTGTGTGTGCGTGTGTGCATGTGCGTCTGTGTTTGAGGAAGGGGAGGGGAAGGTGCCAGTACAGTGACTAGACCCTCAGATGCCGGTGCGGAGTTCATGGGTTCTAATCCCCACAGACAGAATTGATTAATTTTGTTGAATGGCCTGCGTATCCAGGTCAACACAGCCTAGTAATGGGTGGTAGAAACTGTCAAGGAAAGTAAAGGAGGAGAGTGTTTTGTTAATGAGATGACTTTATGAGAGCTGACTGAGTCTAACATCATATGACTAATGGTCACTGGCGTGATGAGATGACTGTGAGAGCTGACTGAGTGAGTCTAACATCATATGACTGATGGTCACTGGCGGGAGACACGTCCTTGCCTTGCTGAGTGTGTGTTTGCTGAGTGTGTGTTTCTGTTTGTGTATGTTAGTGTGTGCGCGGACTGAAGTCTTTTAGACACACTACCCCCCAATAAAAGGCCGGAGTCGCCGTGGTGTAGAGGCTAGATACTCATTTGTCGTTTCGAAGGTCGGGGTTCAGATCTGAATGGTGCTGGACTTGTTCACAAATGAACTTGGTTCCTGGAACGATGCCGCCTTAAATGGGTACCAGATCAAATCGTTGAAAGTCAGGGCAGTCTGTGTGATGCTGAACATAGCACCCATCGATAGTCTATCAAATATAGGTCTAGCCCTATATGCCTAATACACCTGGAGGCGTGGTAAAAGGCTTCCTGTACCACTGTAACTATTGCAGCAAGGCCCGAGACAAGCTGCCAACGGTTCGATAAGCCATTGCTGCCCATCAAGCAATGCACGGCAAACTGTTCCTACCCACGACACGTGAAGAGAAAAGTTGTATGATCATGAACACATATATCAGTCTATGCAAGTAGGTGCTTGTCGTTCATATTGTCTATAAATGGTGTCAATTTAAAGACACAGTCAATTTTAATGCGCCGTTTACTGCCGTGTGCACCCATCAACCGCCATCTTTACGACCGGTGCTATTGTCGATATTTTAGTGGCATCGTTACTGTTACAGATAACTGCAGACTTCCTTACATGTTTTTATGTAACATGTTTGAATATACGTTTGATTTCCACATAACCTCCATGCTATAGTAGTGTACAAGCCTTTACCTGACGGAAGGTTTTTCATTGATACTTTTATATCCTGCACCGGAGGTGGGGGTGGCACCAACGGATTCATGTTGATGTGAATGACCAATTTTGATGTAGTTATGAACGACTTGACAAATATTGAAAAAAAATATTGAAAACACTTTTAATAATATCATCTCTAATTCAACACGCATCATATAGGTGATGTACTAAACAGACTAATATTTTAATATTTAGTTGAACGGACATCTGGTTTAAAGCAAGGTGATGCTCTGTCTCCTCTTTTTTTCAACTTGGCCCTGGAGACAATTATAAGGAAATTGAAACAAGAGTGTACTATAGGAGAAACTACAAGAATATTTATATATGCTAATGACATTGATATATTTGGAGAAAATGAACTAGAGACTGTTAAAACACTGACTGTTAGAAGAATCAGCCAGTAAATGGGACTGTAGTCAATCAAGATAAGACAGAATACACGACAATAACTAGACAGGGATAGGACATACACTCCGGCCACATACAAGTCGATAATATGAAAATCAAACGAATTGAAACGTATAAGTACTTGGGTGCAAACTTCAACTGCTCCAACATGCTGAGAGAATAAATACTGTTTAGAATACAATCTGGAAATAAAGTATACTGTGCCCTTCAACATCTGCTAAAGTCAGAGTTTCTGTCTCGCAACACCAAGATCAAAATATTTAAAACGTTAATAAGACCAGTCGTTTTATATGGCTCTGAAACTTGGAGCACAATTAAAAGAGATGAAGCCTTATTACAGGTTTTCAAAAGCAGAGTCTTACGACGAATCTTTGGACTTATCAAAGATGCAAACAGCGGGGAATCGAGAGTGAGAAGCAACAACGAAATTCATAATCTGTTTAAATCACCACTGATCACTGGCATCATGAGATCTAATAAACTGAAATGGTTGGGGCAAATTGAAAGAATGTCAGATGACAGAGAAGTAAAAACTGTATACATCAAGGAGATGAATGGTCGTAGACCACGAGGGAGACCAAGTAGACCATGGATAGATAATATCAAGACAGACCTGCAAACACTTGGTGTTACCAACTGGAAAGAGACGGGCAACCAGAGAGTTGAATGGAGGCGGGTGATATCTGCAGCAATGAACCTCAAAGGCTCGGAACGATGAAGAAGAAGAAGAAGAAGAAGAAGAAGTTGAACGGGCACACCAGGTACAATCAATAAATCTCTTTACGACATACATCTATAATTATATACCAAGATTAATCAACACGTGGCATGCCCTTGAAAGTCATATATCATGTAATTACATAGTGTGTGTATGTAAAACAAATTTATCACGCGCATGCAGATTATGACTGACAATGTGGACAGATTAAGGATTTATATTGCTAGTTACGCGTGGCACGCTTGTACTGGTGGTGATAATTTGTGAATGAGTTGGTTCCAGGCTTGTACAATAAATTGTGAATGAGTGGTGCCAAGAACTTGTGAATGAGTGGTGCCAAGAACTTTTTCTCTCGTATTTCCACTAAAGCGGGATTTCCCAGACTATTTTTTTTCTGTACTGGAAATATCATCATCATCATGTTCTCTACCAAAACCATAGGCGGTAATCATTGGTCATCCTACACTATCAGCAGTTTCAGGGATCAGGTGTTGTTCTTCTCGTGTCCTATGTGTGTGGCCAAACTATATATCCTCTTTCTATGGAGCCTGCTAGTTGTCACCAAGTTCTCTAGTCTTTTGCTTGCCTTGCAATATACCTGCTGTAACTAAACAAAACTAATGAATGATGACAGTTTCGTTTTCTATCTTCTCTATGTCCACGATTACATCATCTGGTCTAAAATTGTGCTAGACTTCTATCCATATATTGTTTTAAGATTCATTGACGCTTAGAAGCTCGGAAACAGATGGCGCTGCATGAAGTTTCCTACAACGTTCATTACGTTCTGCCTTACACATGTTAGTGATACAAGGTGGGCTGAAATACACTGTTGGAGTTCACTGTTGGAGTTCACTGTTGGAGTTCACTGTTAGAGTACACGGCTATAGTTCACTGCTGGAGTTCACTATCAAAATTCACTGCTAGCTTTAACTATTGGAGCTCACTGCTGAAGTTCACAGCTAGAGTTCACTGCTGAAGTTCACTGCTAGAGTTCACTGCTAGAGTTCACTGACTAGTTCTGTTTTTGTGGACAGCAGTCTGATTTTTTCTTTATATCATAGACGATGCTGTTTTGTCTGGAGCGTGCGATGGCTTGAAGAAATGATTTTTAAGTATGTGAATGTGACACATTGTTATTTTGTTAAACTACATGACAACATTTAGTAATGTCAGCTATGTCAGTCAGAAAGAGTCTTGGCTATTTAACGCGGTTCTGAAATACTCCATCTCTGTGTTAGTGAGTGAACAGCATTAACAGTCAGTATTGCTGAAGATGCCATCTGTGTAAATTCTGTCAAATCATTAATTCAGAAAGTATCTTATTGAAACATGCATGTTGCTAGTAACTGCACTTGGTGCAAATGTAAGTTGTAGCCAGCCGTCCACTTATCAAATTTGCGGATATTGAAACCAAACTAAAGTGTAACATATTCATTAATGTTAATGTGAAGGATGAAACTCATTGTTATAATATAATTAGGCAATCACCAAAATTTTAATGTTACACTACATTGAAAGAGATTGGAACAGTTTATCATAATGGTTTCTCCCTTAGTTTGGTCTTCGTCTCTCTCTCTCTCTCTCTCTCTCTCTCTCTCTCTCTCTCTCTCTATATATATATATATATATATATATATATATATATATATATATTATATATATATTTCTCTCTTTCTTTCTTTCTTTCTTTCTTTCTCTCTCTCTCACCATCTCTCTCTTTCTCTCTCTCTCCATCTTTCTCTCTCTGTATGTTATTGTTTACCTGTTATTCATACTTACACGTCGTCAGTCAAACGACTGTTACAAAATTATGCATGTCTTTTTTTGAAGCGTCATGTCTAGCTGTAAGCTGTGTCCTCTTCGTCCGCACACTAACAAGGCAGCTCCCAGATACGCCACCCACCCCCTTCACAGCTTCCGTTCAAACGTTAAAGAAGTTATAGTTAGTGCTCCCGCAACTGTAACGTCAGCCTGGTTGTGTCTGTGTTTGTTTGTGTTAGACGTTTATTTTAGTGATTAACATGTTTTACAAATTGTGTGTACATTAAAACATGCGCAAATAATAAAAAGGTTTACAAATTGTGTGCACATAAAACACAAGCGCAAATAAAAACATGGTTTAAAAAAAAAAGTGATAACAGGATCGGGATCTAAAGATGTTTCGTTTCACATCAAGATTGTCCATATTACAAGTTACTGTCAGGGGAGATCATCTAGAGGATGCCATTCTGTACTTGCACTTACTTCCCTTGGCGATCTATCTACATCTTTCACAAACACCCAACTCAACCAGAAAGTTAAACAGGTCCAAAAATGCCTGCAGAAGTCGGATGTGTCGGCCGAAATGCGCAGATATAACAGTCATGCTGTAAACTGGCATCACGCACTTACGTTTTTTTTA